GCGTGAGTTTTAAGCCACCGGGTCCGGAACACGAACCGCAGTAGACTACGTGGGAGTCCAGCAACAAAGCCATTATGCTAACTGCTGGTTCCCTAGAACTGCTGTCTTAAAACTCACACTAGGGGGCCCGTGTGTGTGTGTGTGTGTGTGTGTGTACGTGCATACCCAAAATGCCAAGAGGAGAATGGAGGAAAAGAGACTGCGGCATGGTCATCACCCTGGGGAGGGATTTCTCACTTTCTGTCTGTTGTCTCCAGCAAGCGCAGGCACCCTAGAGCAAAAATCTCTCTAAAAAGTTAAGCCCATTCTCCTTGTCCATCCTTACTACCACTTACCTATAAATGTTTGTTTTTTGGTTTTTTGGGGTTTTTTTGGGGGGTGGGGGGAACTACAGGGCATGTACACTTGCCAGAAAGACAGAAAGAGATAGAAAGCAAGAGATCACCCCCCGGGGGAGGGGGGTGGTGGCCGTGCTGCAATCCCTTCTCCTCCGTTCTCCTCTCAGGATCTTGGGCATACAGGCACATGTACCCAGTGTGAGTTTAAGCCACCAGATCTGGAACTTGAACCGTGGTCAACTACATGGGAGTCCAGTGACATAGCTTTTATGCCAACTGCTGGTCCCACTATAAATGTATTTATTACAACTTAAATTTTAACATTTGAGGAATCTAGATAAATACATAAGAATTTTTTTTTTAATTTGCTATAGAGCACATTCATTTGCCAAAGAGAGAGAAAGGAATACATTCCCCAATGGGAATGGTTTCACCGCAATCCCTTCTCCTTTCTCCTCTTGGAATTTTGGGCACACGCACCTGGTGTTTTTCAAGCTACTGGGTCTAGGGCTTCAACCACACAGCCAGCCATGTGGAATCCAGCCTCCTTACCACCTTTGCCACCTGGCTGGCCTAAGATTTTTTTTGATGTATTACTTGGAAATAATATCAAACTTATAAAAAGCTGTAAAATGAATGCAAGGCGCACCCCCTCTTGCTCAGGCTTGCATACTGTTTGTGGTGTACCCGTCTGTGGCATCGACTGCTGTCTCTACGTCCATCTGTCTGCCTCTGCCTCTTTGTTTCCCTCTCTCTCATTGTTTTCCAGAACCTTTTGAGGATACCTATCATGGCACTTTACCCCTAAACATCCAGCGTGTGGTTCCTAAAAGAAAGATCGTCTCTTACATAATTACAGTACAATTAACCACTTCATAAGCGGACACCGATACGAGACCTTACAAGCTACCACCCAGTCCAGTTTTGTGATAATGTCCTCTTTTGTTTTTCTTTTTTAAGAGAGATTTTTACTATAGGGCATGTGTACTCACCAGCGAGACAGAGAGACAGACAGAAAGCAAGAAATCACCCCCCAGGGGGGATGGCCACACCTCAATCCCTTCTCTTCCATTCTCCTCTTGGGATCTTGGGCACACATGCACACGTACCCTTTTGAGTGTGAATTTGCCGGGTCCGAGACTTGAACTGTGGTCAACTACATAGGAATCCAGCAACATAATCATTACGCCATCTGCTGGTCCTGATACTGTCCTCATGGCACGTCCCCCATGTAATTCCAGACCTGTCTAGGCATAGGCACTACACTTAACTGTCATGACTTCTTAGCCTCTTTTAATCTGGGATATTGTCACGGCCTCTGTCTTTTATGACATTGACATTTTTAATACCATAAATCCCCACACACCTCTATTTTTAGTAGACCATTGCTGTTTCTTAGCCATCTAACATTTCTTGGTGATTAACTGAAGTTATGCCTCAGTAAGAATGAGGACTAGTTGATGCCCTGTCCAGTATCTGTGTACCTGCGTCGCCCACACAATCACCCAAAGTGCTGTCCAACTTTTCCAGTTTAATGACTAGTTGTCCTTTATCCTCACTTGCAGCTAGTACACAGTCTATGGGAAGACCTTGTTGTTGTTCCCAGAGGGTGCGTGCATTCACAGGGTAGGGGAATGGGGACAGAGAGAGAGAGAGAACGAGAGTGTGAGAAAGCAGCCCCATGGGGAATGGCCACGCTGCAATCCCTTCTCTTCCGTATCTCCAGTCCATTGGGAGTTCGGGCATGCACACGTGCCCAGCAAGTTTCTCAGCCGCCAGGTCCAACACTCAAACCATGCAGCTGGCTTTGTCGAATCCAGCCACCTTACCCATGCCACGAATCAGCCCAAGAAAGACATTTTAAGGTCGTGTAAATATCCTGCTCATCAAAATTTCTAAACAAAAATGCTCTGTACTATTTTGGCAACTTTTTAGTCAGTCTGAAGTCACTAGCAAATAAAAAGTTAAATGAACATTTGAAGTAAAAAACATAGAAACTAAAAACTTAATTCCACTATATTATAAAAATATGTTAAGAAGGAAAATCAGACAAAGAAATTAAAAACCTTGATCTTGGGCTTAAGACTACATAGGCTCACTGTTTTTCTGTCCCTGTACACTTGTAGTTATTAGAAGCAAATAACAGATGGTTTTACTGAAGATCTAGAAAATATCAATAATCACTCCACTGGCTTTTCACTTACATGATTTTCCTTAATTGGGCAAAATTTTAAAGTAATGCTTCTGCTTAACAGTTCCGTAGGAACAAAACAGGTCCAAAGACTCCAAGGCTGTATGAATTACGTTCGTCAGATGCATACTTCCGCAGATTAGCTGTGCTTACTGCCTTTGGACAACGCTGGCCAGAATTACTAACCTTTATTTTATTTCTAAATTCGAACGATCCCACGTGTTCAAAAGTAGGACAAGAAGAATGCAAAGTCCCCTTTGTACTTACTCTCTAGGTCGGAAATAATGAGGTTGTCATGGAGTTTCACAGCTCGATGTTGCTCTACTTCATCTTCAAGCTCGAAGATGGTCTCCTTCATGTCACTCCTTTCTGTCTCCTTTTCTTCTAGCTCTGATCTTAACTTTTCTAATGTCATATTCAAATCTTCGATTTGTTTCTTAGCTTCTTCTTGGAAGACTCGGTATTCATCTTCTACCTATGTACACAGTGTAGATTCAGACAAGGAAGAACTGCTGAAGTTCTAGAATCGGGTGCACACTAACACAGGGAAGCTGAATATGCATGAACCAGCGACCGGCACAGCTGCAGTGGCACATGCGCGAGAGTGCCGGCTCTACGTGGAAGGTGGAGGTTTCAGTTCCCAGGTCGACCTGTACATAATCACGTACACACGAGGCTGTGATCCTGACTGGCTGAACGGCTGGGGGCCAACACGGCATGAGATCACACTAGAGGTGCTTGTCTTTCTCTCTCTCTCTCTCTCTCTCTCTCAAATACATTTTTAAAAAGTGGGACCAGCAGGTGGTATGGTAGTTAAGGTACTGGAACCCCACATGGCCAACGATGGTTCAAGTCCCGGAGCTGGCGGCCGGCTTTCTCACTCCCCTACCCCTTCTGTTTCTCTCTGGCTAGCATACGTGCTCTATAGCTAATAAAAAGTAATAATAATAAATATTATTTTTTAGAGAGAGAGAGAGAGAGATTTTTGCTATAGGGCATTTGCGTTCACCAAAGAAACTAAAAAAGGCAGAGAGACAGAAAGCGAGAAATCATCCCTCGGGGGGATGGCCACGCCACAATCCCTTCTCCTTCATTCTCCTCTTGGGATCTTGGCCACATACACACACACACGCTCCCAGTTTGAGTTTTAAGCCTCCAGGTCCGGGACTCAAACCACAGCCAACTGTGTCACCTGCTGGTCCTCAGTAAATAATTACTTAAAAACAACAACAACAACAACAGTGTAACAACTGTTAAAAAGCATGAAAAGGCACCCTATAATAATATAAAATTTGGGGGCCAGCAGGTGGCTTGGTAGTTAAGGGTGCTGGACTCCCACATGGCCAACTGCGGTTCACGCCCTGGACCTGACAGTTAGCTTTCTTACTCTCTCTCACACTCTATCCTTCTCTGGTCAAGTTGAAATAAATAATTAAATGAATAAAGTTAAATAAAATAATTTTTTAAATTTACGTAATATGCTTACACATAAACTACTGTTACACTACCAACTGAAATTATACTGATGTTATTATTGAATTAACCAGATTATTTGCAGAAATCTTGGAAATGCTCCCTTCTCCAAAATTTAGACTGAAAACATGCATTTGATTAATGCTTACCATGCTCTCATGCAAAAATGATGTCCTGTAATAATTTCAATGTCAAATTGAAAATGAAAATGGAAACTGTCTTTGCAAAAGTATTAGTTCATAGTGCCCCCTCAACATAACATACGCCAAGAAGTAACGTATCTCCTGAACTGTACCTCTGAAAGTGATCACCAAAAAATTATAGTCTGTGTCATCCAAATTTCATCTAAAGACGTAATAGCTTACTCTAGAAATCACTGTGCTAACTTAACAAATAAATTAAATGTGAGACAGAAGAGTCAGACAACCCATGGAAATAAATACTTCAGCAGCAGCCACGCAGGCTACAAAAGCCTGGCCAGAGAGCCAGCAGCCCTGGGCAGCAGTTACAGCTGAGCCCTCGCTGTGACGCCGCGTGCATGTAAATCAAGGGCTCTGGACTCCAGGCCCTGCCCACAACGCCCCACAGACCTCTGCAAACAGAAGTCAGCGCGCTACAGAATAGTTCTCACTCACAACAGGACTCGATTCGAGAGCCACGGCTAGAGCAGGACGAGCGGGGGCAGGCATGCTGACCCTACTGACTCTCCATCCGTGCTATGCCAAAATATAGTAGAAATGAGGCCCTACAGGTGCATGGCCTACTCGGTGAGCATGAACGGAATTAGCGACAGCTTCTGGTGCCAGCTATAACTCTAGCCGCATCCTCTCAAAGACAAGAGAACTGATTAAAAGCAAAAGAGTGAAAGTGACATCATAAGAAAACTTTTCACTCTATTCCAATAAAAGGAAACCATTCTCAAACTTTAAAAATTCATCGACTTAAACAAAAAGCTACTGACACACCGAACAGGTGACCCCGGCTCTCATCAGCATGCAGAGCACGACAGACAGCTGCACGAGGCCGACCCAGGGCGCGTCCAGCTACTCAAACAATACCTTGGCAATGGTGTCCTGCAGCCGATTGGCATCGTTCCGGGTGTGAGCCAGTCATCAGCACGCAGAGCACGACAGCTGCACGAGGCCGACCCAGGGCGCGTCCAGCTACTCAAACAATACCTTGGCAATGGTGTCCTGCAGCCGATTGGCATCGTTCCGGGTGTGAGCCAGGTCTTCCTGCAGGCTACTGGCCAACGTCTCTGCTTTCTCCTTGTCCAATCTGACGCTCTCCAGGAGGTCCTGGATGTCAGACTTATCCCCAGAGTTATGGATAGAGTACAGCTCGGCCACTTTCTGCTTTTCGTTCTCCAGCTGGGCCTTCAGGCGGTTCATCTCGATCTGGTCACTGGCCACTGTGGCTTTGTACTCCTCCAGAGTAGCTGCCAAGGCTGCTTTTCCCTTCTGCTCAGACTCAATAATTCGCTCCATGTGGTGACTGCGCTCTTTGAGCGCCCCTATCATCTCCTGGGCTTCTTTGTTGTCCTGTTCTGCCATTTTCAAAGTATTGCTTAAATGCTGCTGGACGCCAAGAAGCTGCTCTCGTTCGAAACGCGCATTCTCAGCGAGGTCCATGTACCGCTGCTCTAACTCCATGTAGCGCCCACTTTTTACATCTTCGTCTATGACGTAAGAGATGTGGTGCTCGTCTAAGAGGGAGCGGAAATACTCGATCTGCCGGCTAAAGTGTTCGAGCTTATCGCTTTGCTGGCACAGAGACTCCATGAGAATAACCTTCTCCTCTCCGAGCCTCTCATTTTCACTGTTGAGTTCTTGGGTAATCTGCTGTAAATCCGCTAGCTCTTGCAGAGTGGCCTGGAGTTCCTCGCTCGTACTGTGTTGGTTCTCTTCCATCTGGTGTATCCGCTCTGTCAAGCAGGCGACAGACACTTCGCTTGCGTTCCCACTGCTGCCCTTCCGAGAGCGTTCTATGCTCGGGACGCCCTCCGACTCTGAAGACGACGGTGCGTCCAAAGCATCGTCGCTCGACGTGAGAGGCTGGTACACCTCACTGCACTCGCTGTCTAAGTTGTCCATGGAGTTGCTGTGCTGATGGGCCATCAGGGTGTTCTCATCCTGACTCAAGAGGTCCTCCACTGAGCCCGGGGCAGAGCCTTCCACGGAAGAAGTCAGAGTCCCTCCTCCATCGCTCTGGTTACCAGCAGCGATTTCTGGGCTCAGGGACTGATAACCGAACAGCTTTTCAGAATTGTCTAACCTCTGTTCCAGGGAAAAGCCCAACGCGTTCAACCTGTCCTTTAACATTCTGTTTTCGTTTTTCAGCTGGTTGAGCTCTTCACGGATGGCAGTATTCTGCTCCTGTAACTGCAGTAACGTGGACTCGACATCAGTGGGCTGGTGAGCTATAATGGGTTCCTTCTCCTCGGACTTCTCATCGCCCTCCAAATGATCCTCACTAATGCCCAGCTGAGCACGCATGTCTCGGAGTTCGTTTCTCAAGTGTAAAATTTCCACATCTTTGGTTTTTGCCAGTGTGAGGAGATCTTTCACTTTGGCTTCCAAAGCAGCTTTGTCACTGATCTGATTGTCCGATTTAGACTTGCTCATACGAACGTCGCATTCCGTGGCAGTGCGACTGCGGGAACGCTTAGCCAGTGCCACGTCATTAGCTCCCTGACCTGCAGAAGGTAGTTTTTTGCTCTGGTTTAGTCGGGTACGTTCACGCAATCTTTCTCTAGTAGAACTGGATTCTTTATTACCTGCAGAAGTGCTCCGCTTGGCTGAAGAACTTGTGCCTACAAGTTTAAAACAAGGAATTTAAAGCAAAAATATTAGCAATAATAAGGTATGGGTATTGCATGCCCAGGTCTAATAAGATGAAATCTAGGATCTACACACTGACTTGGGCCTATGATGACCCTGACTTACAGTCTGTTACTTCAATGCTGTGACATCAAAATCCAGATCCTGAGAAACTCATCAAGTCAAATAACCAATTTCTACAAAAGTTAACTTGCAGGGCCGGCAGCTGGCATAGATAGGGGTTAAGGCGCTGGACTCCCACATGGCCAACTATGGCTTAGGTCTCCAATCTGACAGCTTGCTTTTTCACTTTCTCTCTCTCCAATCTGACAGCTTGCTTTCTCACTTTCTCTCTCTGTCTCTCTCTCTCTGGTCAAATTAAAAAATAATAATAAACAAAATGAAATAAAAATACTTCCTTAAAAAAATTTAATTTCAAGAATGAAAGGGAATAATAAACCCATGGAGTTTTTTAAAAAAAAGACTTTAGGTACACATCAGGTCACATTAGCCTAGTAGCTAAGGGGAGTTGGTTCCCACATGGCTGACCATGCTTCAAATCCTGGCCCCAGAAGCTTGAAAAACATGCACGATGGGACCAGCCAGTAAGGTGGCATGGTGATTCGAGTGCTAGACCTGGTGCCATGTAAAATATGCCAGGTGTGCATGCATGCATGCCCAAAACATTGAGTGGAGAATGAAGGAGAAAGGCCTGCAGCATGGCTATTCTCCCCAGTGTGTGTGTGTGTGTGTGTGATTTCTCTCTCTCTTTCTCTCTCTCTCTCTCCAGCTAGTGCACGCACACTGTAGCAAAAATAATTTTTTAAAAAAGAAAAGAACATGAAAAATAAAAACACAGCAGGCACATATGGGTGTGTGCTGAAGATCCCAACAGGATGGAGAAAAGGAGGAGAAAGAACTGCAGCGTGACCACGCCCATTTGTGAGTGCTCTCCGGCCCCTCTCTCTGCCAAGCATATAGACTCTTTGGCTACAAGAATATAAAAGAAAGAGATGGTATATGAATCTTACGGGAATTCTGATCAAAACAAAAATAGACAACAAGAAAGAAAACTTGTGCGAGTGTTGAACATGTAAATACTTAGGACCAGCTCTGTGGCATAGCAGCAGTGCCAGGTCCCTCGTGGTGACTGCATTCTGGGGCCCCAGCCCACCTGAAACATGCTAGGCACATGCACAAGTGCCCAAGATCTGATGGGCTGGCAGAGGGGACTGCAGTGGGACTAGGCCCCGTGGAGGGTGCTTTCTCTCCCTCCCTCCCCCCACACCTCTCTTCTCTTTCTTTCTTAAGGGCACACACACACACACATTCTACCATGAATAAAGAAACATAAATACTTATTGCATAATTTATGATTAAGGACTGTTTATTACTCTAAACACTGACAATGGTATTACAATTATTTTTTTTTAATTCTTATCTCTCAAAGTTAATGAAATGTTTATGAATGAAACTGTGAGGTCTAGAACGTGCTGCAAACCAGTAAGGGGAGGGTAAAAGCAAGGAGTTAATGCGGGCGCTAAGCGGACAATGGCGAGGAGTACACGGTGCGGAGAGGGCCATCTGCCTACTTCGTACATATTTAAAATCTGGGCTTGGCACCATGACCTGGTGGTTGGAGGAGCCAGAGCCCATGTGGCCGACTGCCTGTTCAAATCCTGGCCCTAAAGGCTTGGAAAACACGCTGGGTGCATGTGTATGGGTGGAATGGAGAAATGGAGGAGAAGGGATTGTGGTATGACCACACCCCATTAGGGGCTGCTTTTCTCTCTCCTCTCTCTGTTTCTATCTGGTGAGTGTGCACATCCTCTAGTAACACAGAAAGACTGATTTTTCCCCCTATATTTAGATAAACCCCTAAACACCAATATTCTCTGCCTTTTTGAAAAAAAAGGGGGGGGGCAGCTGAAAGCAA